TGYCMAGSACATTTCCACTCTCTGCTCCACCCGACACTTCATGAAGACACTGGTGGACACCACGGAYCAACCCTTCTATACAAAAACTGTGTCCATGGTCCAGAATATGTCAGGCAGGAAGAAAAGAAAGTACAGTTTGCTGCAGATTGTTCTCAGTCATTCACAGAGGCAAAGAAAAAATAAARAGAGAAAATGTGGCAATATTTAATACCAGAAACGCAAATTATTTTCTCCTTACCTTGCCCTCCACATATTCTGGATAAATAGGGTAGTAAAGAGAAGATTTGTGAGCCAAGCGAAGAATCTCCTTTAGAAAGTATTTTGTATAGTGATGAAAAGCAGGATTTAAGACAAAGTGGCAAAGATGTCCATGCTCCTCTTGCTGGTAATGATTAAAATGAATGAAGTCCTCAATGTTGTAATGTGATCGAATATACTCAATATCCTGGAAAATTAAGGATTTGTGAGTCAGCAGTGATCAGCAGCTACCCTTGACAGGATTTYAGCAAATACCAATGAGTCACTTTCTATCAAGCAAGGAACTACATCYGAACACTGAAATCAAGTATCTTTCAGAGCTGTTCTCAATTAAAGGGCACTGACTGAACAGATTTTTCTCGAAAATCTTTTAATTGTATCAAAACCTTCCTTGTAGCTTGCCTTTATTGACAAGGAATGCACATCTGACCTTTTCCCACAATGTCTGACACAGGTTAATGGACATCCATGGCGGGGAAAAAAATCTCTCACCTGTTTTCTGAGTTAAGGGTAGAGGAAGCCCAAGGCTGTCCTCTCACCAAACACCAGCTGAAAARGGAAATTCTACAGAGCAGAGCTGTGTAAGAAATGCCCTCCAAGAAGTTTTCTCTGTTGAAGTAACAAGCTGATATTTTTGCACATTTATTCACTCATTTAATCTATCTTTTTAGTTCTTAATATAATGATAATTACTTTTGAAAAAAGCAGTAACTGTTCTATTGTAAAAACTAAGCATTAAAGCTGCTGAATAATCTAAAATCCACCTTTTCAGTCCTAGCAGAATGCCACAAAAGTAAGACTTGAAGAATGTTTGCTTTTCAATAATAATGTGCAATGTCTTTTTTTATTCCATCGAGAACATGCTTTTCTTTGTGTTGAAGTACATGATTCACAATCACCTAGAAACTAYTGCTGGAGAAAAAAGTTATGAAAGCATATATAGAAGGAGAATTACTGSTCTCTGCAGGATTTATGGCAAAGCTCCTCATTGACTTGGAAAGTAGAAGGGAAATAGGTGATTAAATACATATTTAGAGGCAGAATGGCTTTATGTTCAAGCACCAAGAAAGTGCACGAGGAAAACTTTCAGAACATACCAGCAGCCTCTTGAAAATAACAGGATAAATTTTTTCATCTGGTGTCAATCATTATCTATGAGAAGAGATACAATACAGTGTACATAGGCTAAAGAAAAAGAGAGCTTTGAGAAGTAGCATTTTTACAGATATTTTGTTAGGYACGTGTATAGTGCCAAGCACAAAACTCAGCCTTTAGTGTGAGGACCAAGCACCACAGAGCTCACGGAACACAAAGTGAATTTACCATTTCATCCCTAGTGATAGAAACACCAACGATTTGATCCAAAACTTCTGCTACAAAAGCCTGTACTGGCATCCCATCCTGCAAGGAAAAAACAAGATGCACATTTCCAGTCTCTAATGGTAATTGTGTATTTCACCACAGAGTCCCAGTTAAAACACTTTCCTTCCAGGGCAATTCCCAGGCACCACCCCAGTTTAACCAGCCTGCTTCTCAAAAGGGCCCTGTTTGAGCCAGGTGTGTGTGGTTGGACTCTGGACCACGCAGACCTTTCCCCACTGAACTTCCAGTTTGGAGACAGCTGCTACAAGCTCAGCCACTACTTCAATCCTGGGTTAAATCCTGGTCTTCGGAAGGAATTGTACATATATTAGCAACAAATACTCACTGGTTCCCTGCGAGCCTCAGTGAATATCTTTGAGTCATTCCATATCACTTCACTCAAGTTAAGAGTTTCAACAAGCATTTGGACACCCTGTAGGTCATTGGTTGTTGCTTTTCTGACATTAAACGACCTAAAAAAGACAAAAATAGAATTAAAGTTTACTCTGTGACAAAATAAAAACAACTGCCAGGCTTAAGACAACATACCCTCCATGAGCACCAACCACATCTTTCAGAAGTTGTAACTGATAAATAACTCTTGTTCCAAAGGCAAATTAACTGACTGCATGATAACAGAAAAGATCAGTACRTGTACTTGAGACAACTCCAGAAACTTGCTTTATCTGCTCTTAAACACTCTGTTTTTGTGCACCTACAGCCCAGTCTATAACCACAAGTATCACCTGTCTTCAARTGAATAAAGGGAGGCAAAGAACCATAAAATGAAATCTGGAATCTCMGTTGTGCAATTGTAGTTGCACACTGTGGCACATGGGGAGAAGAGCAAGATAAAAGCAGAAAGACGAGAAAATAAAAAAGGAGAGAGAAAAATAAAATCGAGCCAGTTGTTGGAAATGGAACMAAGTAAGGCAGGAACATCAACTTCTCCAAGCACAAATTACTAATATTTGTGTCAGGCCTTGTTGCTTCAAACAGTAAGACACGAGGGGAAAGGTACATGACTGCAACGCCTCTGCTAAGTGTGGAGTACCAATTAGTAATCACACAACAGCAACACGGTATCAAAATGCCATGCAACACATGGAACATCTTACCTACAGACAGGAGTGCCCTGGCACTTAGCTCATTCATAGATTTTTAACAAAAATCTTCTCACCTACTAATTAGGAAGAAAATTCATTTCACAGTGACAGTCTACAGCAGCCAAGGAGGTCTCCTGTTGTCTATGAAAGACAGCAACCCCCTTCCTGGTTACACTCAGTTCGTGCAACAAACACTTGTGGAGTGCTGTTCAAGAAGCTGAACTACAAGTTCATTTCCAAGAAATAAGTTCTTTCACCCACAGATAAGAACATGCAATTCACATAGTATATTTTTTTTTATTCCTGTTCTTCTCGCTTTCRATTTAAAAGTGGATGTGCTACTCTTCAGCCTCAGTCACACTGAGAGGGATCTTGTGGAGTACGGGTTTAAAAACCCCAAATTTACCAAGATTCTGGTACGTTATGAGAAGACAAAAGCATACATTTGGTTACTAAATTACAAACTAATCCTGAACGTCTAAGCAAGCGTCAGGTGAGCTTCCACAGCTTTTCACACACTTCCACTGTAAATTGCAAGACCCAACTASTGCTGAGGAAAAGGTCCAGCAGGCCCAGCACTGTGGCTCACTCTGCAGCCCGAGTGTACTGCCCCCCCCAGCCCAGCCCACCAGCTTTGCCCCTACCCATGCTCCAGAGAAGGSAGCTGTGCCCAAAGGGAACTACATCTTGAACAAGACAAAAACAGAACAGGCAAAAAGTTGAAACTGCTTCTTTTCTAAATAARCAGATCTACCAGGTCCACTGTGAGCATGGAACAGGAGGAAGGACTACCCAAGGTCTGTGCTCATTTCTCTCCCAGCAATGAATTAACTCATTCTAGATGCTCAAGTCCTTTGACTGCTCAGAGACAAGGACACTATTATTACTATTATGCTTTTTAGTGAAAATTGAGGGAAAGTATCCATTAAGCACCTCAGCCTATGCCTTGTCATCTGTTATTTTTTTCTCTTTCACTGTTAAGTAGCAGACTCACACTTCCATTTGCTGCACTTTTGCTTTTTATGTACTTAACACTTTTTCTTATTCCTTTCATGACCTGTACTAATCAGAAGCTCATTTTGTGCCTGTGCCTCTTCTGACTTTGCCCTTTCAAATCGTCATACTCCCATTTTCTTACCCTGTTTTTCTTTTAGTCCATTTTCTGTGACTTCCTTTTGGCTCACATCCTTTTGAAAGTCATAGGTGCAAGTAAAATGTATTGATCTTACACTTTCACAGATTTTGGTTATTTCCAAGAGAATATCTACTGTTGCACCCKGTGGGTTTTGTTCTGCAGAAACTTTCCAAAAGCTTACTCTGGCTTCTCCCAAAGCATTTCTGATCCTGAATCTTAATGAGCAGCTATTTTTCCTTACTTTCCTGCAAAGCTGCAGGGGGATTTGGAAAATGCTACTGATGACCCTATTCTGTTTTCATGGTAGGACTGGTGTAATTTGGAAYATGCACATGTAATCAGAATGGTAACTTTTTTTTTTTTTTTAAAGCCTTGATAACAGCTTGAATTTTGCCCAAAATTGCAAGAGGACATATGACTCCCAACCCTACTGGTGGATTACTGAGCAGCTGYGCCTGAGATTACCAGGAATTACTCCAGTGGCTCTCTCTCCAGCCAGCTGGATTCTTACTCGGGACCCAGAAGTACAATTTCATCCCAGGGTAAAAAGCTTCTGCATAGGTCCAAGAGTATCTGGCCAGCTCCTGCATGAACTATTTGTGTACCATCRAAGGTGATTAAGCATGCAATTAAAACTAGAAGTATTTTGTTAAAACCACACAGTATTTAGCTACATTAAGACCAAAACMAAAAAATCTGTAACTATGCCACAATTTAAGCTTGGTGTTTGGGCCAGAATAAGCTTGATACAAAAGCAAAGCTTTGGAAAACTCATTCCATGTAACAGAAGACACAGTAAGAAAGGTTTGGCATCCCAGTTCACTGATATCTCAGCCTACAGACACATTCAGAGTATCGCAGATGCTGAAGGCACAAAATAAATGATTCAACACCCAAAGTAAAAGAGAAATTATATARAATAGATACTCAGCGAGGTTACTGCTGTGATGTGTCTGTGTCCATGTTCCTGCAAAACATGACTACAGTTCTCTTAAGAAAGCTACAGCATATTTCCAAGAMTTAAATCTACACCAGGCTATCAAGAGCCATTTCACACAACCTGACCCACATCCCCAYGGCCAAACACAGCACCACATTTCTCTTCTGGCCTTGGCCCACAACCAGGGAACTTGGAGCTGCTTGTCTGTACCAATGTCCATGTTCCCTACCTTAGTACTGTACATACAAATCCCAAATGAATCCTCTCACTGCACTAGGGYTTTACTGAGAGGCCACTCCACACAAATGCTGGCAGGTGCATCCCACAGCAGCCCAGTAGTGTCGTTCTGAGGCAYGACTCACGTGAGCAATCCTGCCCGGTGGAACACGTACAGCTCCCGACCCAGCCTGGACGTGCAGGAAGGGACAGTCCGAACAAAACTCCGGATCAGGGGGAACTCCGGGATATGATGTGGCACCAGGATGACACACAAGTCTCTGTCCTGAAAGAGATTGGCAGGCAATAAAGGCTCTTGTTGACCTCTAAGGTTTACCAAAAACCTCTGAGGGGAMAGACAGCCCTGAATATGGGGCTTACACTGCACACTCCCAAGAACTGCTCTGTTGGGACAGCACCAAGGAACTAAAAGCTCAGAAATGGCTTCACTTTAGGCAAACTACATGATGAACATTCCTTCCTAAATCTGGTCATTCCATCATGACATTAGTTTCAAAGACTGACATTGTTGGATGGRTAAATGGCATAAATTGGAAATGCTTTGTGGGTTCGCTCTCTCTAGGAACTTTCTTTGGTGATAAGCAGTGTTTTTGAATGTGCTGGTCCTTAGGGCCAAGTCTGTGTCTCTGGTAACCAGGGCCTGTCTCTAAGGGACACTACCATGCAGCTATTTGTAATGTGACTTTATAACACTCTAGTTTGCATTAAGAACATCTCAGAAAGTGGACTTTGTTACCTCAGATAGAGTGATCACACAGGGCATTAGTKGAAAATAGCTACTGCACTGTGAATTCACAGTGCCACTGCTCAGTCAATAGGAAAATATCACGAATCTCCTTAATACCACTGTTTTACAGGCTTTAACTACATTGCCTTTAACTTTTTTTTTCTTAGTTTTGCTTTTAATTTATGTGCAGTCTGGATTTACACATGATTTTAAAGGAGTTTGAAGYATTTCTTTTCTAAATCTGCATCTCAGACAAGCTTCTATGGAACATAAACTAGAGAGACTATTTACAACAGCATGTAGTGCCAGGGAAATGGCTTCACACTGGCAGACAGTAGGTTAAGATTAGATGGTAAGAAAAAATTCTTCCCTGTGAGTGTGGTAAGGCCCTGACAAAGAGATTTCCCACAGAAGCTGTGGCTGCTTCACACTGGGAATGCACAAGGCAAGGTTGTACAAGGCTCAGAGCAACCTGGGATAGTAAAAGGAGTCCTGCCCATTTCAGGGGTGGAACTGGATGATCTTTAAGGTCCTTTCCAATCCAAACCATTCCAGGATTCTATGATAAACAAGAGGACTTAGGTATGCATTCCATGAAATTCAGAAGCAGCCGTGGAGAGGAGTAGCTCAGCCCAGGGTAATCAGGCCMAGCACACTTGTGTGGGGCACAGACTCACTGCAGCAACAGACCCAAATCCTCTAGCTGCCAGCTGCACTGCTGTCCCACCCCACACAAACATTCCAACTTCCATTATACTCACCGGGAAAACGCTGAAAGCATAACGCAAAAAATCCAGTGACCTGCAATCAAGAGCAAATATTGGTAAATAAAGCACATATCAGACGGATATGATACACTGCAATATTTACATCCCTGGAAGTGCAGGAACATTTATTCAGAGCTGATCAGACAATTCTAATAGATTATCATTAACCAACTGCTGACGCTCCATGCAGCACAGCAATTTCTGATTTAGAGCTTAAAGCATCATTATTAACAAGAATAACCAGAATGTTTGACATAATACACAAARCTCTTCAGTAAAAGGGTGCAGGGGAGAAACAAATGAAACATTGGCTCTCATGTTGTTGACTCTAACCTCTTCAAAAGCCATTCCTGGACTGTCATAGCAGCATTAGTATATAGCAAATATTAATTCAGGTTACAAACAGTTGTTGCAATGCCCCACAGTATTTTCAACCAGCATCAAGAGCTCTATGACTTTCCACTCAGGAAAACCTGCCTGGTGTGCTTTGATAGACTAACAGGAACATCAATATTTTGAATYGGTTTTGAACACTTTTTTCCACTCCTCACCCACTGACTTAAAACTATCCCAGTCTCTTTTCCATGGTGACAGCAAATTGTGACATTTCAGTTTAAACAGACTTGAGAAACCTCACCAAAGCCCTGCTGTTTCTTCCATGTGTAAAGATATTAAAGAGCTCAAAACCCATCAGAGATATGCTGAAGTTTCAAAAAATACTTTTCCACCACAATTTTGAAGAAATTCAATACAGATATAGGTTAACTATAAATACTGATAAATCCCCTCCTTTCGGAATTGTAATTGATCTCCCTTTAATTGTCTCTTTAATAATATCACTTAGAAATMATTTCTAATTGCAATATCTAGGCTTGAATGCAAACCTAGAACAAAGCTGCAAGTACAGATGAAGACTGGAGTGTTCTATATTCACCTATATAATACATAATTAAGTACAGTTAACTGAATAGCTAATCAGGGAAAAAGAAAATGCCATTGCAACTTTGTTTTCTCTCTGTATMCAGTACCTCATTAGCAGCAAGGACCACAAGAATTGAGGTGAGAGATTTTTCAGGAGGCTTAGAAAAGTATCAAAAACTATATTTGTACTATCACAATATTAAGTATGTTAAATACCACAGTATTAAATATCAGCAGATAAACCAGCAGGTCAGTTCCTTCACATTTCACTGTCAATGCACTAACAAGCCACATAACAGCTCTGGATTTAGGAGATTGAAACACTTAGCAGCTTTACTGGATAACAATTCCCATGGAGCAAACTTCCCACAGGGTTAACATGCAATCTACCTACACTTCATTCAAACTGCTGTTTCTGGGTCCATGCTGTGCAAAGCCAGCAGAAACTCCCTCAGGACAAGATTCCAGGCTGCAGTCAGCATCACCTCGTGCCCTCCTTTGCATRTATTTGTTTGGTTAATATTTCTTATACAAGCAGATGGATCAAGCAAATGCAAGCCAGWGAAGCATAGAAGCAAAATGTTTGAAAACACAAAGATCTACAGATTCCTTAGCTCTACATGGGGCAATCCTAGGAAATGCCTTCAGACAGGAATGCTGTCTTCTCCAGATACCCACCTTGGAATCTACACGGCTTCACAGATGTCTCCAGGTAAAAAAGATTGGGACCACAGCACTGAATGATAAATGCAGTAAGAAATGTGTTGAACAGAAACAACAATGGTAGATACAAAGCAGAGTGATAGAAGGAAGCCTAAAAGGGACAGATTCTTATCCTAAGCAGGATCCCATGAGCAGAGAACTSAAGAAGTCTACAGTGAGATTATTTCCTGACATATGTCTTCATCATAGCTCTGAATTGCTGTTTCAGTSTAATGGAGTTGTTCCAGAGCAAGCCCTTGCCTCACTAATATTTTAAAATAAAGCTGTTTAATTTTACAACAATTCTCTTGAATTTTTACACTAGATTGTCTATCAATTAACTATTCTGGAATAGTCTCTCTGCAGTGCAATTGCTCTTAGCACACATTAGTTGATCAATGYTTCTAAATACAACATAGACTTCTAGCACTGCATTTCACCAATTAAACTAGTTCCTAACAAACTTGAGCTATATTACTGGGTATCCCACTTGGGAAATAGGTACCCAAAAGGCTATGTTTGCTTTGCTTTGGTAACTTTGGATATTTGCATTTGCAGCAGATTCAGTGTTTGATCCCCTTGGGTAGATGTCCTCCTTAATCAAGAAACAGATTAATAAAGAGAACCAGTTTTCAAGGAATTCTGATTTTTCCTCTTAATGAAATTTAAACTTCCTTTAAGCCAGAGAAGTTCAGAAGTTAATACTCCCTGATGACTCTTACCACAAGTAGATAGATGTTTTTCCAAGCAGTACTACACATGTTCAACTCATCTATTAAGCTCTTACTCCTGATACCTGGTGTCTGCAGACATGACATGGATTCAAAAGCATGGAAGATCCTGGGTGTGCTCAGCTGCTTTGTCTATTTGGTATCTTCCTTTCTACCATCAGATCAAAGAGGGACAAAGTTCCTGGAGAAGTTTCTGCTGATGTGGTTGAATATAGGTTTACTCTTCAAGTATGCGGAGAAGTTTTGGAAAAAAAAATCTAAATCCCATTTATAACCCTATTCTAATCCACCATGATCTAAGAGTCCAAGGTCAGCAGCAGCAATTAAGAGAAAAACCCTTTGTCTCCCCCAGCTGTAGAGGATTCTAGAAAACAGAGTAATTTCTCTCAGTGGCTGGAGACAGTGTTTAGAATGGGAACATTAACCTGCAGAGCTAAGAACAACTTTATTGTGCCATGCCAGGAGATGACCACTATTGTAACATGTAGCTCCTCTTGCAGCTAGCCAGCTTCAGAATAAGTGTCTGGAGAGAGAGAAGAAGCAGCCTATTTCCACAACCTCAATAACAAAAATGAATTCTTCACTTTTTGCCCCCATAGACCCATCAGAGTTAGGAAGTTGCATGTGGGTTGTACAGTTATTACTGAAGGTAAAAGAAGCGGACAGGAAAGAAGTCAGAAAAAATCCCACCAAACTGTGGCAAGGTGCTGTCACTTTTTAATTTGTTCTAAACACTTAACCTTGAAAACAGTTTTTAATGGGAAAGCAGARACTATTCCTCTAAGCTTACCTAGTCTCATACTTCTCATCAATACAAAACAGACGGATATAGAAAGCATTTGAAGCTCCTCCATTCACAGGGTGCAAATCCCCTTCCCCATCAGTCTCTAGGCCAGGTCCTGCTGAGCCTTCAGAGCCTATGTTGCTGACATCACCTGCTGGCAGTTTAGTCTGGGAAACAGTCACAGCTCTGTCTCTCTGCAACAAAAACAGACAAGGTTCACTTAGGATATTTCACAGTATTTTCATTATTTAAACCCCCATCCTTTCTCTCCTGTTCAGTGACCCTTTCTTCCCACCCCAATGGCTGCTTATAGAGAACTGGATGGGAAAACTCACCCTAACTAGTAACTCTGATTCTCTCCCTCTAGACCCCAGCCAGAGCACCTTCTGACCCGTGYCCCACAGCAGAGGCACGTGTGAGCTAGAGCAGAGCATAGGGCAGGAGGGAGACTCAGCATATTTGTTTGTCCTCATCTTTGCCAGCCTTGCTCCATGTCAGCTCTAACAGGGATCAGCACTGCTGTGTACAGCAGCATTACCTGCACAGATGCATCTGCACCAGGAACACGTCCCATGTTTTGAGATGWAACAGGCTCTGGCTTTGCACTTGTTTGGTTGCTTTCATCTTCATCTGAGTAAAGAAAAAGTGCATAATGTTTAATAATGTGAGCTTAACCCTCAGAATCACAGCAATTGCTGGAGTGGGCCAGACTACCTATATCAAAAGGGTTCATTTTAAAACAGCCACAGTTTTAAACAGCCACAGTTTTAAACAAACCCTCCTATAGCTATTTGGCTAGAGCTTCATTAGACTATTTGATTTTAAAGCACAAAAAAAATCCAAGGACAAGCAAGGTGTCTTCACTCTCAGATCAGTTCTCCGAAAAGAACTGAAATTCAGGTTAAATCCTAGTCAAAACAGAACTCTTACTGGTGCAACAAGGGACAAGAAAGAGGGGTTTAAGTTCCTTCATAAATTTTACACAATAAACTAAAAGAGGTAGGTTTTGCTGCTGCAGAAAACACGTCAAGCAAGGACACCCTTGCATTTGGAAGATCCAGTAACATAAGGAAGTCAAGGTTTCTGTGTTCCAAGAAGAATAAAAAATAAGCTTCAGAGAACAACAGAATTCATCCCTTCTCCTTCCGAAATTTGCCTTGGAACACCCACATAAGCTACATTCACAGACAGAAGCATTTCTTCACGAAATAATGGGCACTTTTTTTTCAAAAATACCTCAAAGGTTTAAAATAATTTAGCCAGAAGTAGTTAGAAAAAAATCTTATCTCACAATCTGTTTCTCTGTCAATAAACGAGTGCAGATGCAACATGCAGGGCAAGGAGAAAGGCGGGGGGTAGGAATCATGGGTTCTCTGGGGGTATCACAGATGTGAGCCTTCACAGAAATGATCAAATGTCGTCTTGATTAACCAGCTCCATTTCTCATTACCAACAGCCTTGCAGGTGTCAGAAGTTAATTAATACAAGTCTCTTGTTGTCATGTAAATATTGATATGTTGTTTCTGACTTTATACTAAAATGCAAATCCTTAATGGCTCCACCATCCACTCCTGTCAGACRTGGCAGTATCGCTGTTTACAGACATGCTATACATGAGTGACTGGCAAGAACTGCAATATTGTCACTAAATCAAGTAAGGACCACAAAGAAAGAAAATTAAAATAATTCCGTGATTGCTGGGTTGTTARCTGAGGTACAGTCAGCAGGATCAAGAAGCCAGTTCACCATGAGGCCTGATGAAAAGCCCTTGAATCATTCCYACTGCATCATGTTTTCTAGCAACTAATTCATGACACCATATAGAGTAACAACCAAATTACTATAATTACCCTGAAACCTAAGTGGCATATCAGTACAGACTGTTGTATACTCTTTCATTATTATTCAGCATTACATTTTGAAAGGGRAAAAAATATCAACCTGTGGTCTCTACTTAAAAGCTAAAGCGCTTTAAAAATATCATTTTTATACGTAGGAACATAAAATTACAAAGGAATGCATCTTGCATTTTAAAATTTCCAGCTTCAGAYTCAATAAAGCCAAGTCCAGATGCTCTATTKATGTCAGGTCACCAAACCTGCACTRCACAGAATTTGCCACWAAACACAGACCTACAACTYGCAGTCCCTGGRGAAGGAAAGAACACCAGAACCAGGAACAGCCCTGGGATGGGTAAGGCTGGGAGTGAGCCCTGGAGGTCACCTTGCCAGAGTCCCTGCCTGAGCAGGGTCACCCAGAGCAGACTGCCCAGGACTGGGCTCCAGCTCCTGAGTAATCTCTCTCCTGCTTCATGTCTGTCACCTCTTCTGAACTCATACCGCTGGAGCTGCCGGAGCACAGGATTAAACAGGAGACAGGCAGCTTCCTCCTATGTGCAGCCATCTCCTGTGTGCAAGATGCCTYCTTGCAGGGGTAGGGAAGTCCACAGGAGCAGCTACAAGACCTGTTTCTTTCCTTTTTCTGTTCTGTGACTGTCAGCTTTGAGGTACCAGCTGGTGACAGCCCTGCAGCTCCCTGGTAGCCTTTTTTGCCTGCTGCTTTGTGTTCGGAAAAGCAGATACGCAACAACCTAATGGTGGAGGGGTTTTATTCCATTACTGATAATTAGTAGATAGCAAAATGCTGCCCTTCTACACAAAAAGCCCTTTGACACTGAAAAATAAAGACAACTGTAAATCATGTACATGACACTTCTGTTCCACAAACAGGTGCCATATTTATGCTACTGGTTTTTATCACTTGCAGGAAGACAACTTGCAGATGCATTGCTGTATCGTGCCCAGTATAAAAGTGGAATAAAGACACAGTCCCTCATCTCCCAAAATCTTGTAACCCAGGAGACWGCAAACAATGAGCAAAGAGAGCAGAAGCTGAACCACAAGGAAAAAAGATGACATGAGTCAACAGGACAACATCACAGGCCCAGTTAACCAGCTGCTCAGCTACTGACAGACATCACCTCACTACCAGATTTTACAATCACATCTTCATTTAATAGCACATCTATATCTGATAGACAATATACCCCATGCTACAGCTTTCTGAAACTTAAAGCCTACATTTATCCCACAGCTGGTACAGGCTACTCCCCACAAAAAAACAATTTCTTCTAATTCAGAGACCAGGGCTATCAAAATTCCCCTCCTCAATTAAAAAWCATTAGGCAACCTGCTTCAAAAACAGATATGTTAATTTGTGCTTCCTTACTTGCAAATCTATACCCTTTTTCAACCTCCTGTAGAACCTACTTAGAAGTTAGATACAAAAACACCTTGAATCTAWTTATTGAATCTATATAGCACTTTAGAATATAGATACCTCCTTGAACACTTGGCTTCTGTGGCACTTCAAGAATGTCCTCAGGAGGTGGTTTACAGAGCCCATGGAAAGGTCCTAAATCAAAACATTCTTGAAACAAGGAAACATTCACTTGAGAACATAAATTCATGAATCCTACTGCAGTGCCACCAACCTGGAAGATAAAACCATGTCATACAAACATGTCATTCTAGGTCACGACAAAAATAACTGAACRAAAATTTCTGAAATATCAACTTTTAAGATCCATCTCTGACTGTGCATAATGAAAAAGTATAAAGGAACTATTTCAGCAAAAGTTAAAGATCACTTTTCATTTTTTTTCCTTGTAACATGTGTATTAGGACTTGTACAGTAGATTCTAATCTTTTTTTTTTATGTATGATTTGAAAGAGTATTGGGTTTCTACATATGGACCAAATAATGACTTGATATTTCAGTAAAATATTTGTTATGGCAAATAAAAAAAAAAAATACTTCCAAAACTGTATAATTTTGTTTAAAATTACAGTGCAGCTGAAGTAGAACCTGGATTCAGTTAGCTGTAATGATTGACTCATTACTGGACACTGATTTGGAACTAAAATGGGGTTCAAACTGAAAAATGTATTTTATTCTCATACAAAATTATTAATTCAATAAATCAATCATGCATAATATAAAGAGTACCCAATGCAGTATGTATTTGCAGCACTTATAAGCCCCAAATACTTTTGTGCAATGAAAAAATCCAAGAGCTGCTCTCAAAAACAAAATGCCCTGACACACGTCAAAGTGACGGGATCTCTGCAATGCTGGCACCCACAGTACTCTGGATGCCCAACTGGTGCTGGAGCTCCCAGCAAGCTGCAGCCCTTTTCAAGATATACACTGGGACCAAGGAGAACTGGCATGCTGGACAGTTTCTGGCTTTAACCTAAGACAAATCTAGAAGGAAGCTCTTTRATTTTTAGTACTGTATGCAATTTTCTGGTAAAACACATCAAAACAAATTTTCTTTCCTCCTTAATACACATAATGAAGGCTTTTAAAAACCTAATGAAAACTCAAAAGGCTGGATTTGTACAACTGTTTTATAAGGCCATCAGCACTTCAATAAAGACTTTTAAAAGTGTGATGTTTAATTTTTCTGCCCTCAAACAACAAGTGATTGTTTGTTTGCCTTGTTTGCGTAACCAACAAAGCCGGGGCGCCGCAGTTGCCTGGCTGCTATGTAATTTCAGGCCCAAGGCTCAGCAGAGGCTGATTAACCAATCCATCTACCATATGTGCAAAAARAGGCTGCCAGCTTCATTCTCCGCAGGGAAAATTGGCATCCATCATTGGTTTTCGTGGAGGTGCCTTCCCAATCCACCGTGGCACGGCAGCTTGGATAAACTGAGGGCCTGAAACACCTTTTGGTGGTCTCACATCGAGCTCTGAGCATGCCACTGAAATGTATTATTTATAGCAAKGGCCCTTTGCAATGTGCCATTACACTAATGGTGTATTGTTTCCCATTTGGCTTCCAATGGCAGTGATTACATGTTGCAATGTTATAAAACCATTTGCCACAAAAAGCAGACTTCAGGAATTAAGGAGGTTATATTGCCTATCAGTTTGCACTACCATGCACAATTACTAACACATGAAAATCTTAATAGGAATTTTCAGCAGGATAACTATTACCACCTCTTTCTTATTTAAATTAATTCCTGTGTTTGTCTTCATTTCAGAAAAAATTGAGCCAAGAGAAAGAAAGATTACCTACAGCACTTTAAACTGTGAAAGGATTACTGGATACTCRTTTTCATATACAATATTAGCTTTCACTGGGAATGAAAACAGGTYGCCTATAATGTAAATATCTGAAATGATATAACATGGTTTCTTCAAGACACACTGTTCAAATTCCTTGAAAATAACCTGCACAAGAACTGTTGCTTCATTTCTGAGCTGGCAGGATCACTCCTGAAAACAGACACAAACTACATTGTGAACCAACTGTGTTGTTGGTACAGACCATGAATTCTACCTTCCACAGGAGAGCTGCTGATTTTACTCCCTGAGCTAGAGCGAGCTGTCACACAGAACATCAYTAATGCTACTATCAGACAAAAACAGAGCTCATGGCAGACTGACCTCACAAACAGCTGACTGATTTTCTTCATCATCAAGTTCTAGGAGATCAACAAGAAGATATTCGCCATAGATTTCCTTCAGAGCCTCACTTTGAGGTGTCCAGATTTGCATGAGATCATCATAATCTTCCATGCTACAAAAAAGAGATCAAGTAATGTCCTAAAGGTATTCCATTAATAGGTCCTGATACTTCTATTCTACTCCATTAACATATAGAAAAATATTACAAATACTCTTTCTAAAGCCTGCACCCACAAATCACTTCACCTAGGACACATCCTCAATGCACACTAAAGTKGGAGTCTCAGCACCAGAGAGACAGCCACTCCCAAAAGCCAGCAGAACCCACCAAAATCTGTACTGCCCAGGGGAGATGCTTCTCTTTCACTAAGAAAATGTAAGGGAACCCCAGTACAAAATTCTCCTGCCTCACTCTCCTATGAGAGCAGTGGTGCACTCATACAGGTCCCAGCCTACATGGATTTTTGTTTAAACAGGCAATAGAGACTCTTTCCCATTAGACCGCTATTCCTAGCCAGGATCAATGTAACTCTGCGWAAGAAAATCCAGCACTTTTACCAGAGCAGAGGTAGAATTCATTAGTCACACATGCTGCAACTATGGCACAAAGACTGGGGTCAAGCCAGCTCTGACACTCAACCACTATCAATAACATTCAACCACTTGTATTTATCTCTCGGAAAAAATGCCGGAAYGAAGTGGTGCAACCAAAAGCAGTGGAGAGGAAACTGGGGCTGTGTCGGGCTGCCAGAAGGAACAACTGCAACAAAGCGCAGGGGAAGCACTCCCTGCCTCGGGCCGGGAGCAGGTGGCTACTTCAGCTATCACTCCGGGAAGGCTCTCGCTGGACCGTCCCGATGAGCCCGACCCCTCTCCGGGGCCCCGCGCGGCGACACCGGAGCTGGTGGAGCCCTGCGCGGTCTCTGCCGCCCTCCGGCGGTCCCGCCAGGCACGGGCAGCGAGTCCTTCGCTTACTTGGGATGCACAAACCTCCTCCTGGACTGGAACCGGGAACTTCAGAGCTTCCTTAGGTTTTGGGAAAACTGTTTTGCTCCAGGGTCCCACTGCACATGCGGGGAAGTGCCTGTATGCGATACCTGTAAGCTGGAGATCTTTGTTCTGCACAAGCAGGAATCCAGAAAYAGAATAAACAGATTCTCATTGCCACTCTTTATGTATTTCTGGATTTGGAAGGAGCTTGAAAATTARCATAGCTGGGAAAAAAGGTTCTGTTTCTCATTGTATCAAACACTGTCCAAGCTTCCAAGCACTACCTGACTACAGCACAGGAGAGGTGGTCAGGGGTCTCAGGATGGTTTTGCTGCTCCTACACACCAGAATGGATCTGACCTCTGGGTAAGACCACCTTTGTAGCCAAGGCTGGGGACTCCTTGGATTGTGACCTTGTTACTGCTTTTTATTTTTTCCTCAACTAAAATGAGGCTCCAGGAACAATGAAAAGTCTGTAAAAACTTGCYGTAACTCACTCTTTATCTCTCAAACCAAAATGGTCACCTTCATCTCCTTCACAGGAAGTATCCCAAGGGAAAAGCTGCAGTGAGGTTTTCCATTAGCAGTACATCACCATTCAACACAATTAATTAGCATAGCAATTCTGCTAATGAGTTATCAAGCCTCAAACAAACCAAACTAAGAAGGGTAACAGAAAAAGACTGTATCCTAATCGAATGCTGATATTTCATGGGGTGGATAACAGGCACATGCCTCCTCCAAATGGAATGTTGTTGCAAGTGCTCTGAGTGCCCCACCTCATTCTGTTCCTGGGACACAGGGCAAGACCACACACAAAGGTGCAAATGGCAATTCCTAGAGACTGACCCTGTGTCAGTCAGTGTGACTATACATAAGCCCATTCATTTCCCTGCATGTTACATTGTAGGAACACAACCATTTAAATTTCTTAATTCTATTTTTAGTATCTTCCTCCAGTCCCATAGTCTTTAARAAAAGTAAARAAACCCTCCAAACCCCAGTAGCTTTTCAATATAAAAATGCCACAAAATTCCTCTACTGTGAGCACAAGCACAGAGCTGCAAATTTGACTCTTACCCACAGAGTACAAACCCAAGAATGGCAGGCTCTAGACAAGATACCAGCAAAAACCTTAAACATCAAAGCTTAGTGGGCTGCATTCTGGCACATCTGCTGACATCTCACATTAACAAGGCCAGACAGAAACTTCAAAACTGAATGGTTAAGGAAAGTATCAATTTACAGCTGCTTTTTTCCATTCTGTAAGCAGGGAAAGAGGGAACAGAGATTACCCTAATCTCCTCTCACTGCCCCAGAACATGTTGCTAGGCAGGTGGCTGGGGACAACGTCCACAGATGAGTCTCTAAGGGCTCCACTGACCGTTACTATGGATGCCACTGAAGCACAGAGGTGAATGCAGAGTGAAGGGAAAGGCAAAGCTCCTTCTGCAAACAGAAATTAGCTTTACCCAGAATCCACTGATGGACAATATTGAAGCATTAATTTTGTATCATCACTGTGTAATTCCAGTGGAAAATCAGTATCTCAGTTAACTTTCTAATAATAACAAAACTTAAGCAATTTTTATTTTTCATAATGATCTACAGATATCCCAGACAAGATGGTAGCTCTTATCAGRAATATTGCTATGGCCTAGGTGACATTTCCAGTCATGCAAAAAAACTTTTCTGTTGACAATATCCAATRGCCATCAAAACAAATAAACAAAAAAAAGCTCTACAGTTTAAACTGAAAWAAGTATGATAGTTGGCACCAACTCATATAGAAAGATTTTAAATCTTTGGGCTTAACTCACCAACTGATTGCTTCTCAATATGAAGGTCCATTCACTTACTGATAGGTGGTAGACACCTCAAAACAAACACTTTAAAAGCCTATCAATTGTACATCGAATTAGTATGAAAGTGTTTTTTTACATATTGAAATATCTGGAGCTACAGAAGGAGGATGTGAAGTAGCAAAGGTCAGGCCTCAGGCCTTTTTCTTAAAATGCTCAAAAGTCAAGCAACAGAAGGAGCCAAGCTGCAGATCTGCTTCAGATCCATTTGGTAAAATTCAATATATGCAATAAAACACCTCTCAGAGATAGGCTTCTGTCAGAATCCAGCCCATGCTGGCAGCATGCATCAGCCCATAAACAAACAGGTGTGGCTTTACCAGGCAGAGACATCAGATACACTCATGGTGACACCACCATCTGTGAAAGCACTGGTCAGTACAGACCCCCCAAATCCGTATCATGATACAGAGCCCAAGGAATGTGCTTCTCTCTAAACTTCAGTTTCCAYTACAGGCAGCAGAAATGCTAATTTAATCACAGCTCTGCTACACAGGCACAAAGCAACACATACATTTACTACATGCAAAAACAATGCCAGARGAAGTCAGAATCAAATCAAATTATTGCTTCATAAAACATTACCCTACCTGCAATCTTCCCAYTGTGAAGAGGAAAAGAAGTGACCCAAAATTTCATGGATACAAGTTCTATTTCAACCACACTACAGGGAGGCATCTCCATAGCAACAGGAAAATCACCAGGCACCTGGGTCAGAAAGTCRGCATTTCTCATGTCCTGGACACAACACAAGTGGCAGGAAAAACCAAGAGTAGCAACAGTCACTACACAGGTGGACAGAACAGACAAGCTGCAGGGAAATTAYTGTGTCTGCCTGGGGCACTGCAGGCAGCTGTGCTGAGGGGAAAGGAGAAAATAATTCAGAGTCTCACATTTTTAGTGACATTTATGACTGCCATCCCATAGTAAGAGCAAAGCCCTGGTAAAGGCACACTGTGTAGGCATATCAAATCTTTGCTCCAGACTGGGGCCATCAAAAAGAGAAACACAATGGAAGGAGAAAAGTGTTACTCCATGACTTTCTTCAGCTTCCTCAGCAAGGCCCCTGAAACACAACCAAAGCCAAGGTATGGAGCACTTCCACAGGAACAACTATAAGGAAGATAATTACTTTTCATGTCTGAAAGACCACTGGAACTAGGGATTCTCTGGTCTGATTTACTTCTTTTAGGTAACAGGCCTCCCTATTCAAGTTCTGCTTGACTGTTTAACATGAGACAATGAGAAAATTAAAAATAATTTGAAAGAAGCTTCAAGAAACCTGGAAACCACATGCACTTCCTAAAATACACAGGGGTCTAATTCAGCCAGCAGATCACAGAATAAACATCACTGACAAAAAAAACCAGTCTTTGTAGTTAACTAGTTTTCAAAAAAGATACAATTGATCTTGTGATGAAATAGAACAAAACCAGCATAATCCTAACTACCTACTACTTGGGTATCACAGAAAACCAGAGCAGTCAAACTATACTGACACCGCAAACCAAAGGAGGAAAATGTTTCAGTTTTCCACAGACAGATATGCTCAGGAAAGCAGAAACGAGGAGCTGCTTTACCTCGCTTGGCGCACGTGCAGCCGTGGGTGACACCGATGCCTGGGGCACACCAGCAAGGTAAAGCCTCTATCCATGGGTGATCCTGGAGCAGGCATCATCCTTTCAAAGACAGCCCCCATGTCTATCTCTAAACAACAAAAATGTGTCAGGGGAAACAGAGAAACTTCATAATGCAAGCTCTAAATTATTAGCAAAAACTGTCTGAGGGAAGTGGTGTTTCAAACTTAAACCATAGATAGTAAAATGTTCCAAGTCTTTTAAATTAGGCAATGAGGTTGAAATGACAGTATAAACATGCAAGAATTGTCACCAGAGTAATCTAAATAATCCAGCATTTCAAACCTGAAGAAACTTCAAAGCAATGAGAAGTTGGTATAATCCAATCCCTATAAAAATAAGAAGGCACATTCACTATGCCTCTGGAGAATCTCTATGAGAACTCACAATGCCGAAAGAAAGCTGATGTTTAATTRCCAGGGTGGGTTTAACAAAACCCTTCAATCAAGTCCTGTTTTCTGTAATTGACATATCACTACAATCTTTTAGTATGACTTGGAACCAAKATGCCTAGAAGCTGTCATATCAGAAAAGTTCCAGCTCACTTCTGAGCTCAGTTAAGTGCGTGCTTGGTTTATTAGTATGAATTTAGGACTAAAATACCAAATCAGGTGCTGTTGTCTGATTAACACGTGCATTCTTCATCTTTGTACCTGTATCTCTGTTCTAAAAGAAATAATCTGTGKTTCCTTCCATGTCTCCAGCAGCCACACTGAAATGTCCTCTTCCTATCTGTACTTTTTTGGCTAAGTAAGAGAAAAYGCCCAATTTTAAAGCCATTCTCTTGGCTCTATTCAACCAGAAATCTTCACAAAMCTTGTAGGAATTGATTTTTGAGATCTTTACTCCTTTTTGACGTCCTSTTTCTGGCAAATTTAAAGATTTCAGGGAATGGACAGACTGTTGAATAGCTGYGGGACTGAGTATGGAGCCACAGATACCTCTTGCACAAGGGATCCTCAAGAGAGGATACTTTTAGACTATATTTTCCACATGTTTAGAAACTGGTAACTGTTTTCCATATTAAAAAAGAACATCACAAAGAGCTCATAGAGCATACTAATTAGATTTGCAATTGCTCTCATTTCAAGAATAAAACAGTATTAAATTCTTACCTAAGTCATCCTCAGGTGGTATGAAGAGAAGAATAAACTGCAGTTCTGGTAGTAAGATGAAAACTCTCCTGGACAAATAAATATATTCAGTCTTTCATCATTACACCCAWTAATGACAACAGCTACATTTGCAATATATATATATATATTTTTTTTCTCCAGTGTCTCCAATCTTCCTTTATAAGTCCACATGATTCAAAAAAGAAAATATTTCTGATAACTAGCATCATATGAAATTAATCTGGGTATTTTTTACTGGTCTTTCCTTTCTTTTCAAATTTCCTAATTGTTGGATTTCAAGCATCCTCCTTTTTATAGTAGTTCCCCAGTGGTGAAATATTAAAGATGCTAGGCCTCTGCTGGAAGATCTCTTCCATGGCATCTGGATGATATGACTTGACAGCAGGAGAGGGCACATGCTTCACTRCACAAAGTTACATAGGAACTCACCTAACAATTTCTTGGGAACATCCAGCTGTGTATTCTTCCTTTGCCACAAAGAGATGCACAAACAGCGTGTTCAAAGGCTGCGAAACGAGGAATAAAAGTCTACACATTATGTAGCTAATATTTATTACATCAAGTATTAGTATGCATATTCATTTTCAATATACTTGATCTGCACTCAATAAGCAGCTACATATATATAACTTCAAAGCATGTGTGGATGAAKTTATGTGATTAAAGTCCTTCATATAATTTTGTGCTTCTGCAACATTTTTTCTTTACACCTAGTTTACTATTGTTTGACTGCAGTATACAATGGACATCTCATACTAAACAGTATTCAATCTTGACTAACAACATTCAACAACATTATTTAACATTTAACATGTGTCTGATAAAGACATTGTTTTGAGGTTTAAAAAAAAACGCAAACCAAAAGATCACATACTTCTCATAATCCTAATGCGTTTCTTTTTCTTTAAAGGTAGTTAAGTAAAATTACAAATGTTAAAATTACATCATTAGACACACAAATACCAGGCAGAAACGGGGCAGACTAACAGACATCTTTACCTTGTGCACCTCCAGTTAACCTGGAAAACCCTTGTGCTGGAATGGCAAGGGCTATTAATTCAGCTGTTCTATTGCATATTAATTACAAGTGCTGGGTCAACGAAGGTCTACCAGTAGATAAAAATACTTCTACAAAAAAATATTTTAAATAGAAAACCTGACAGCTTCTGAATAGTTTAATATTCACTTAAAATGCCATAGCTAGAGTGACCAATAAACTTCAGCAATCTAAGAGCAAGAATGATTTCAAAAGAGGCTGCAGTACATGGACCAGCACCAAGACAACAGGCTATTGTAATAAACATCTAAAGCCATTTCTAAAAATTGGGCCCTTTGTTTCTTTGCTTTTTAGAAGCAAAGGGAAAAAATGAAAAAAATATAATGTTGAGGTCCAAGAGGATGCCAAGGAAACCAGACTTGGACTGTTACTGAATAGCACTGGTAATCAGACAATGTAGTAAAGCATCTTCACTAACTCCTTTCTGCACAAGTCAGCTCCTACTTTAGACCGTGAAATTATTTCTGTGCTCTAGGAAAAAGACAGGTCAACTAGATTTCACAGAAATCCTATGTTCAGATGATCTCAGTTTTGAAAGGCACACCCGCATAAATTTAACCTGCAGTTTGCCAATGATGTCTCATCAAGTTATATCCCAGAAAAAGTTCAGAGCTTCTGCCAATGCAGCAGCATAAAACACTAAATCTTCTACATCTACTTTAGCAAATAAACTGGATTTTAGAAAAATAAGAGTTCTGCTGCCTCTGTTTCAAAGTATTTTTCACTCCTGATTCTGAACAGTAACTTATTTTTCTTGTCTTTTTTTCTGTAAGCCCCTTGGTCAACTGTGGCTTTGCTGCACCAGATCCCATGGAGCTACCAGATCCTGAGGGAGGTCACAGCACAGCAGAGCAGCTGTGTCTGYACTTGGAATGTGGACTGTGCCTGCCCACAAAGTGCAGCTCAAGGGACAAAGAAAGTCCATTACAAGGAAATCACACATTCTTCTTCTATGCTCCCTTTGGCCKTAATGATTGTGTTTCTTTTAAGCATACACATTTTCAAACACAACTCCTGTTTTCCTCAGTTTATCTCCAAGCCATCGCTTAACATCTCAAAAGCATGTGGAGAGCGGGTGAACAAAATGCCCAGAAATAAGTGCAGCATTGCCAACACCTTATTATGGCACATGCCTGGGGTTAAAATGTTCAGTATTTTCTCAACAATCACATGATCTAGTTCCCAGCTGGACTCAATGATGGAGGAGCATTTGAGTCCTAAACTTGTAAGGGCCTATTTCTAGTCGGTAAATCCTACCARAAATTCAAAAGCTTGCCCAAGGAGCCCATGTGAAAGTTGCCAGTATACAGAGCAAAGAGCAGCAGTCTTCATGCCAGCACCAAACAAGCTCACTGCAGAGTTAATATGTCCATGTCAGCATGAGGGTTTCATAAGGAATCCATTACCTGAAAGCCTCAAATCTACCAAAAATAGATTGTAGATGCCCACATGTATTTTTCATACCTGAACCTAAATGAAAACTCAACTAAAACCATACAATTTACTTACAGTGCACTTATTGTCAGTGTAGTTTTGATGCAGGAATGGTTCCCATTCGGCCTGATCAGTGATATTCCAGTTTGGATAGTCCAGAAAGGCAGCATGGGCTATAACCTCATTCTTCTCATTGCAGAGTGTCAAAGCAAGGTTTGATATATCTCTATGAAAAGAATTTAATTTTGCACAARTTGAAGGAAATCCACATACAAAAGTGACTGACTGTGAATTCAGCCTGCTAGAACAGTAAAATTAGYCATGTTCAAGAGGGTTCCTAGAATCAGGCCTCAATGAAACTTCATCATCCATATCCTAACTTGGTATTGTTGTTTCAGTTCCAGGTATTTGTGTTCTAACGCTACAAGAACTCACATGGATTTTCAAATCCTCAATCACTTAGTAAATTTGAGACACAAGACTTAAACATTCCCTCTTGTTTGTATGTTTCTTCACACCTCTCTGTTTTTTTCCCCAAAAAGCTGATATCTGAGATTTTTACTATGAAGTGAGAAAAACTTAAGTGAGCATCTGCCTGTCACACAGCCTGTCTGCTGCTCATCTCTGCAGAGAAAGAGGAAGCACACGAGGCTCATCACTGTCTCCAGGGATGGAGGTGTGGTAAGTAAAGACCATTACAACACCCAGCTCTGCTGAGGACATGGCCACACAGGCAGCTGGCAGACACAGACCAGACCATGCAGAATACTGGGCACCTCTAGCATGAAAAGAGCCACACTGGAACATTTTATGGCAGGCAGAGGCTGTCTCCCATGGCAGAACACAGGAAGACAAAAAAATTATCAATTCCTTTGGTCCCCAAGGAGAAAATGGAAAAGAAGACTGACACACACAGCAACAGACATCAGAAGRATCATGGCCACAAAGTAACCAAAGCCCCTTTACTTCAGTCCCTCCTAAGCAGGCAAACCCATCCTGGGAGATGGAGCAGGCAGCAGATGCTGGGATCTGATAGTTTTATCAGGAGCTATCCACCAGCACCTTTTCTGAACTTCTATAAAAGGAAGCTACTATAGAATTAAACCTTGTTTACCATGACAGGGACCCAGGTTTGCACGGTCATACATGTGACAGACATGGAAGCAGATTTTCTTTTCCCTTTTCMGAAACAGCATAAAAAGTCATTATGTGACACCACACCAAGGCTCAGAAAATTTTCTGCCATTTTAAGTGTAACATAACTGCATGAAGTTTCCTACAAGAAAGGTAATAACCTAAAATACCTTACTTACAAAAGGTATGTGACATCAATCCTTCCAAAGAGGTCTTCTGTAATAGGGCTGAAGAGGCCAATAATGCTTGGGATATCGTGTAACTCTGTCCTTCTGACAGTGACCACTTCTGTATCTCCCCTTGACGAGGTTACTGTAGCCATCCTACAAGCTGTCCTGAAAATCAAAGGAAACATTACTGCTCCAGCAATCCCGCTGCGGTCCAGGGCACAACACAGTCACTTCAGGTGGATTTTCATAAAAATCTCCTAAGTGGGACAACTCCTATGGATTTAGGTACTTGGTTMCTGTACAGCTCCACACAGATACCCACTGCCTGCACGGACAGAACAGTACACCTGAAATGCAGCAGGCAATCACACCTGTTGTCTGATCCTACAGAAGAAATTAATTGTTTTAATAGACTACAGCCGTTTTGTATTTGTTCATTTGGATGCTAACCAGCTCACCACCGAGAACTTCAAACTCAAAAGGCCTTCAGTGGGAGGTTCAGCTGTGGGCAGTCAGTGGAAGCAGGGTGAAGACTCAACTGCAAACAATCAGGGGAACAACATCCTGATTAAAGAGCAGCTTCAGGTGAGTGAACTTATTTTGTCCAAAATTGCTCTTCAAATTTCTTTTGAAGCCAACAAAAAAGACGCTTAAAATTAAATTTTTTATGGCATGCACAGCCCCCACTCTCATTTGCTGTTGCATGTGCTCAGGAGTCAAGTGTCTCTTGTGACACTTAAATTTCATAAGGAATTCAAAGTCCTGTGGCTATTCAAAGTTCTACTGCTTTCCTGCTCAGATGAAAACGTTGGTTTCTTGTGGTTTTCAAAATCAGAGAATGTGCCAGGCACAACTGATTCGCCCAGCAACTTTAGAACACAGGGGCAGCAGATACTCAAAACCACTTGTGACCATCCCCTCAGCTCTAACACCTTTCAACTGCGTGTCTGCTCAGTATTGCAGCCTGCTGTSACCCAGCCAACAATCAGGCACGTGAAATAAAGCAACCAAATAATGGCTTCCTGAAATTTCTTAAATATATGTGTAAAATATAGCAGTACTGACTCAAAAAAACCCACCTAAACCAACCAGCAGAGCAGTTTCACCAGTCTGCCAAACACAACAGCAACTTCTAACAGTGACTCCAAACCCAGATGTGATGCTCACAAAATAGGCAGCAGGTTTTCCAACTAAAATGGAAAACCAAAAGAAATGCAGATTTTTTTTTATACCTTTTAAATACAGATAAAATCACATGCACTCCTACATCTTTCACAGACAAACAAGACATTCAAGTGCCAGCACTGGTCTCAGTCATGCCAATGTATGTTTGCAAAGAGGTCCTGAAATCAACCTGAACAACACATCCTCTGCAAAATGCATCAATTTCATAAATAAAAGCAAACAGAAACTTTTAAGTCCCACTAATAGACGGAAGTTCAGTACTATGATGACTTCAACTGAAGAAAACGTCTGCCACATTTCCATAGTAAATTGTTTAATTTAATGCAAAAAAAAAATTATCACCCTATCTCCACCAGCTCCCCGAAACACAGCCCTGAGGGGGKGGAAAGCAGCATTAACACAGTAAAAATGTACCATTTTCGTAAGGAAATGCGCTGTTTCTGCAGCAACTCCTGCMTTTCTCCCACAGCGCAGCATCCCAAAGACACCAAGCAGAACACGCAGATGAAGGCGTTCCCCTCCCAAACTTCGAGCAGTTCCCTCCTCCTCCTCCTCACGCAAACGCTCTCTTCAAGCACAAGTGAGATTCCACGCACGTTTTTCAGTGTTTGTGCCTCAAAACGCACCGAACGCGTACGCRCCTCGGCTGTGCGATTCGAAGGGATTCTGCGGGACTGCGGGASGCTCCAGTGGGACACCGCGGGTCGCTTGGGGCGGGGCCGGCCCTTGCCGGGGGCGGTGCCGGGGGCGGTACCGTGGGGAGGGGCGGCGCTGGACACTCGTAGTGTCCATGGACACCCCCGGGATGCCCTCACGGACACCGGGCGCGAGGGTCCCCTCAGGCACGCGGGACACGCCCACACAGATCCCCGCCCGCCCTCCGAGCCGCCAGGGGGCGCCCCGCGGGAGCGCCGCGCACTCACC